TGATTACGAGATAGCGTATTACGCGACCGTTTGTCGCATAGTAGAGAATCGCCAGCGCTAAATTGCAGAGCGACGTGAGTACATATATGCATGTGTATATGCAGGGTAAGCTGAAAATTTGAGATAAAAATAATTTTAGAAGAATGCGTAGCCGAAAAACGTGTGTGAAAACCGCTGCGTTCGTGATTTTTAGAAATTGATATAATAACGGGATACACATAGCAACGCGTATAGTCCGCGACCTACATGTGGGGATTTACATCTGTGTGTAACATTCGTAGAATGCGATGCTGTTATATTTAAAAAATATTCCGTTTCGTTGTGACGCGAAAGAGAAAAAATTTCTTCCGTTTTAGTCGTTATTGACGAGAATCCCTACAGCCGGATTTATGGCGCATCGAATTCCCGCGAATTATTTACAGTGCAAGTTGTCGAAAATGCGCAAGCGCGTCTAATTACATCGTGTAGTCACGTGTCAACCAAAGTGTTGAGTGATATCGATCTTGCGTTCAATTTCCACGTAGAATGGCTTTGCAGGTATTGATTACGTATCACGATGTACCGCTGCTTATGTACCGTCGCTGGGAAATTGATACCAATATGTCGCCTCATCATCGTGCTTTATGAAGAACATTATGACTGTCGTTAGTTAGCGGGTGCAAATAGTTGCTAACAGTGATTCCCCTTTTTTCCTTTGCAATTCCTAATTGGATTCTTATCAAGCAGGATAAATTATTTTACATTGAGATTAAGACGCGCGATCTCTCACGAGGACAGGAATTTTTTTAAAAAAGATTAACACGTAATACCGTCGTTTCTCCGCGTAATTTTCATCCGTAATTTCTTGCAGCGCGCGAAAATTTTATCTCTCCTCTATATCTCTTTTCTCGTCGATATTTCAAATTAAACATTCGCGTCACGCAATTTTATTTGAAAGGAGAATATTGCTGGGACGGGTATTAATTGTATATTTTTTAGAAAGACAGAGAATATCATACATGTGATTGAAATAGGAATTGTAAAAGCGTTTGTGTAAGTGACATTATAACGCGCAAATACTCTCGTTTTATCACCGACCTCCGAGATCTCAAAAACAATCAGCGCTGCTCCATTCTCGATTGCGCAAATCTTTTTTCCATTATGAAAAAAGAGTAGATAGAGCGTCGCAATTAAGGAAACTTTAATCGAAATTCGAGATTTAAATTAAAAAGTTATCCGCTCACGGGCTCCATTGTGCCGCCGCGAGTCAATAAAACGAGATTTCACGGAGACATCTGCATTCTTAATAATGCACTGGACGGCGGTCACATGCATGAAATATTCATCGTTCGCGCGTTGACTGCATTAACTGGATGTCCCCGCTTGGGATTTCATTTTCGATATCGCCCGAGATACGACTTGTCGATCGACGCTGAAAATTGCTGAGAGGATAAAATTTTACAATCCCTCCCAATATCTGAAAAGCAAATGTGTCTCGTGAACTTTCCTCTAATATGCAGATTACGATCGTGCAAGAGCTTTGATTGCTTTCGCGCTTGCTTCACCCGAGACACGATATTCTTTTGTTTTCTGTTTTGCATCTTATGGAAAATTTGACGGAATCTCCAGCATGGAAATTATCGCGCGCGAAATTTCATCGCGCAAACTCCAAGGGATTATGTTCGCGGAAAATATTTTAATAATGGATTTACACGAATAAACGATGAACGTTATTTTGCGTGTCCTATGTGTCAAGTATGCTCTTCTAAAGCGAAGAGAATCCACTTTCTCACAAGAGCTGCATCAGCGAAAGAGATAATTTGGTCTATTTATCCGTCCGTAATTGATGTAATCCCGTTGATGGAAACGATCAAAGTTGGACGCTGTATCTAACGGCGTATTACGCTTCTGTCAAATTCACGTCGGCTCGGTAATACTACGTGTGCACGAGTACGCAAGGATGCGTTACGCGTTGCATGTGCGAGCTTCGCGCTGATAACTCTTTATTATTAAATTCTCAAATTTCTGATGAGACGCACGGATTACGTTCGCGGAAAGCGTAATGCAATTGGCAACGTATCTCTTATCAAGAACGCTACGTTATATACGCGGATCGTACATTTCATATAAATTAATTATAAAATTTGTACCAACACGAGTCTCTATAAATACGGTAAATGCGTTGCAAAAAATAGCCTTTTGCCACATCGCATCGCGAAATATCCGTCAATTTCATAATGAATGATAATTAATTGCGGGATAAATTTAATTAATTTTATAATATTTGATTGTTGGAAAGTCACACATACACACACACACACACACAAAATCGTATCAGTTAATCGCATATCGACAGTCGTTCAGGGCGAAGGGCAGTCAAACGTGTCTGAATTTTCGACTCACGATCCGGATACTGCGCGCACATACGTCACATAACGAGACGGGGATACCTTTGTATCCCCGAAAGAACTCGCGCTCTTCACACTAATGGGACAAAACGGAGAAATGCTGCTAAAAAATAAAGGGAATTCCATCATACCTTTCTCGATACAGGAAAGAGAACAGCGTGGAAACGCTTTGTCCGATACACATGCTAATGCCATCTAATGGCGCATCGATCGGAACTCACTAGAGTGCAAAACAAGATTGAGACGGTTCTTTTTCGATGCAGCAAGCTGCCGTTTCATCTCGCGATGCTCCAGAGTATTTGTTTTCGTATCCGTTGCTCCGTGTGGATTTTCCTTGGATGTGTGCGAGCGAATTGCCCACTGCGATCAGTCGCAATTTGCCGTTTCGCAGAGACAAATCGTGGCAAGACGTCTTTTCTGTCGTTCCGTCGGAGAGTAATGTTTTCATGGTAGGTCAACGCGGTAACGGGGATACTCGAAAGTTTGCCGGACTCATAAATATCGGTTGTGTGCACGTGGCGAAGCGGCTTTCAGAAAGGGCGCTACGGATTTATACGCGTTGAATCGAAGGAATCTCGCGCCGCGAGTTCTTTTCCGATTGCGTGCGAATCGTCCATGCTCCACTTTGAAGATAAGATGTCCTATTTGCGTGAGAGTTCACAAGCTGTTTGTACGGTGCGGGAAACTTTCGTTTCGCTCGAGGGTTACTCCGGACAGAGCTATTAGGGACGATTTGAAGGCTTGTTCTTTCTCCGTCCCAAGCGAACCATTCGTTAGGAACTTGCCTGACAGCTTAATGGCGATATATAAATTAAATAATACCCCACTGAAACTTGAAAGAAAATGAATAGCGCTCAATTTAACGTATCTTTTCTTCTGTGCATTTTATTGTAAGAGTTGTGTGCTCATGGCGAGCTCCAAAGTAAAATATTGATGTTTTCAATTGAAAATAAATATGCGAAATTTTCGGATTAAATATCGTGTCTGCAAAACGTGATTTCGCATGAAACGCGAAATTTCAACCGGCCTATGTCAAAGGTATTTCTTTTTTATTCCAATTCTCGTTTGTTCAAATTGATCCCGAATAAATCTATGTGAGCAAACGGTAGATGAATCCAACCGAGCTTAATGGGTTATCACGCCTACCAAAAAGACGTAGATGTCGAGTGAACAATATGATGCGTGGCTGTCCGTCTAATTGCACTCAGGGCAGAATCCGTTCAATATTGCAAGTGCTTTGAAGCGTCAAATGAAGCAACACGATTGATCTCTCCGTCACTCTGAAACACTTACAGCGCCTAAACGGATCTTATCCTTGAAGATACTAACCGAGCCGAAAAGCTACGGTGACACGTGTTGATCCTTTCGTTTTGCCGACATCCCATTATTGTCCCTAGTAAGCAGGAAGCGTTTATCACGTCGCGGCTTCTCCGCGTATCGTTTTACGTCCGCGCTCTATCTGTATCCGTCGAGCGCCAAGTCTCTTCCGCACCTGAGAAACCGTTTGTCCAGCTTACCAGCGCTGTATCTCCCACGTGTGTATAACGCAAAGAGAAGCTTGCGGTTCGCCCGAAACCGGCCGCAGCTTTCGAGTTGCAGCAAAGAGGCTCTCGCAGGTCAGCCTGGGACGTGGCACGAAGGTGCCACATGATCACTCCCATGTTCTCTCTGTTTCCCATTCTCTCTCTTTCTCTCTTTCTCTCTCTCTCTCTTTCTCACACACACACACACACACACACACACACACACACACACACACACACACACACACACACACACACACACACACACACACACACACACACACACACACACACACACACACACACACACACACACACACACACACACACACACACACACACACACACAAACACATATACTCTCTCTCATTTCTCGCTCTCACTCTTGACCCATCAACAAAATTCCCAAGCTATTGTCGGGACGCGCGACAGCTTCCACAAGCAAGATTATTTCCACCGGCAGCGGTGTCGGGAAAATTATCACGTCGCCGCCAGCAGTGCTGTCGCTGTATCGCACTCACAATAGTCCCGTCGTATCTCCATACGCGGCGAAACGGTACCACGACGTGCGCCGTTTTGATTCACTCGCTTCCGCGATCGCAGAAATTACGTCCGCGCGCGAGAGCGGACTGATAAATATTAAATTAACTCCTGCGCGACTTGAATATCAGCATCGAGCTTTTTCCACCGCGAGAAAGGGAAGGAATTTGAAGAGCGAAAATTCAAATAGGGCGATTTAGAAAATTCACAGCGATATGTCCGGCTGTTGCTCGAAAAATATAGTAGAATATTTCCACCGGTGTGGACACTCCCTTACAGTTGCGAGAATTTTACGATGCATTTCAGCGTAGTTTCGCGGCAAGAATCGCAGTTTCCGATCGAGTCTGATCTCGACGGTATAACATTCTCGTTGCCGGCACGTCGGTCTGATCTGCAAATGGAAGATAACGGAGGTCGCGGTTGTGATAAAACTTGCGCAAGTCGCAACATAGAAGCGCGATATTCGCGCCACGTGATTCATCCGGCGAGACGTGACGATATCGACTCGACGTATTTTTGTCAACTTTCCCGTTCTCTCTGTGTGTTTCAGATTCTACTCTCGAAGTTGACGAACGATCCGGTAAAGCGGGCGTGGAGAGGGGGGAAACTCCTCGGCCGAGGCGTTCGCACGGATCTAATGATCTCCGGACTGTGCGCGACGGGCAATTGGCGGAATGACGTCGGCGTCACGTATGTTAGCCCCGTCAACGAAACAAACTTTAGTTACGTCGGTGTCTACGTTATTCCCCGCGAGAATACGAAGAAGATACGTGTAATCCTGTCTCTAATAGAACACGCTGCCGACGCTGCGGTTAATTGGATTATTTCGTGAAGACTCGCGGTAGAGCGGAAAAGTTCCTTTGAATCGCACGTGTTATGCGTATTTGTGTGTGTATATAAGCCCGTGCATCCATTGAAACGGTTCTCATTATCGTTCATCGAAGAAGCTACTCGTTGTTCTCCGAAAAAATCCGCGAGTGATCACCGCCGAAGAGCGCCACGATGATGAACGAAACGATGGATATGATCGATCTTTTTGAAAACCTCACGAACAATCAGTCGACGATATCACCGAATTGCGAGGCCAACCTGCCCATCATCGCGTTGGTCAACCAGGTCCTGTACTCCATCGTCTGCGTGGTGGGCCTCCTCGGCAACACCTTAGTCATATACGTCGTGCTGCGCTTCTCGAAGATGCAGACAGTGACGAACATGTACATCGTGAATCTCGCGATCGCGGACGAGTGCTTTCTGATCGGTATACCGTTCCTGGTGACGACCATTAGCTTGCGCAGCTGGATCTTTGGCAAGATCATGTGCAAGGTGTACATGATCACGACGAGCATCAACCAATTCACCAGCAGCATCTTCCTGTTCATCATGAGCGCCGACCGTTACGTCGCGGTGTGCCATCCGATCTCATCGCCGAAGATACGCACACCCTTCATCTCCAGGGTGGTGTCTCTCAGCGCCTGGGCTACCAGCGCGCTCTTCATGGTGCCCGTGTTTCTCTATGCGAACGCCATGGAGTCTCTGGAGGGCGTAGTGAGCTGTAACATTTATTGGCCTGACAATCATGGCGGCCAGACCACGTTCACCCTCTACACCTTCATTCTCGGCTTCGCCGTGCCTCTGATACTCATACTGAACTTCTACTTCTTGGTGATCAGGAAGCTGCGGACGGTCGGCCCGAAGAACAAGTCAAAGGAAAAGAAACGGTCGCACCGAAAAGTCACCAAGTTAGTGCTCACGGTAATCACGGTGTATGTGTTCTGCTGGCTGCCCTACTGGGTCACCCAAGTCGCGCTGATATACACCCCGCCCAAGCAATGTCAAAGCAGCATCAGCATCACCAGCTTCCTGCTGGCCGGCTTCCTCAGTTACAGCAATAGCGCCATGAATCCGATCCTCTACGCCTTCCTCAGCGACAATTTCAAGAAGAGCTTCCTCAAAGCGTGCACCTGCGCCGCCGGCAAAGATGTAAACGCGGCCTTGCACATTGAGAACAGCGTGTTCCCGCGCAGAAACAAGGCTAATGCCGACAGACTGCAGCCGAATCGGATGATCACATCCGGCCAGTCTAGACTGGAGCTGGAGGACGAGGACGCGGAGAGAGGATTGCTCATCAGCAAAACCTCTACCACCACAGTGACCATGACGTCGCGATCGAACATCACGGTTAGCAGTGAGCCCAGGGATCCGGCGCAGAGGGATAAAGATCTGATTAAGAATGGCGCGCAATTGACTCTATTGACGCAGGTTTAAAGGCCGGATCCGCCGGAGGAGCTCGCTGCGAAGTCGCAGCGAGCCGTTTTTTTTCTCTCCGAATCGCGGGAACAATCGAATTGCTCGGGCATCTCGACATCTGGGTCCTGCGATTACGGCGATAACCGTGCTATCTTTAATTACCGCGCTGTCACGGCGACCGCAATGAGGCCGAGGACCTGGATTAAACACGAGGACGAGAAGTTACTCTCCCGAAGGCGCGTCTCAGACGCTGTCGATGGGTCCATGATCGAAGAATGATTTCACACAATGCACGAGATCGCGATCGGAGATCTCTGGCGAAGTCGCACAACAGCCGCGGCGAATACATCGTGTCGAAGGTCGACAACGGCACGTTGTCGAGTTCGATTTCGTAGGGTCGAGTACGAACGCACGAGAAGACGCATTTCGCGCGGTGACTAAACGGAAACTGCGGTAGAGCGGTCGAAGATTTCCCCGAGAGATAATTCAAAAATATTTTTGCCGATCGACGCGAAAAGTCACTGTGACGGGACGACCAAGCTGGACCTGAAGTATTTTCGCGTATTAACGATTTCCCCTAAGCCGCGCAATGCGTTTATTGTACCTGACGGTCGTTCTCACCGTTTTGACGTTACAACATCGCCCCAAGTTCCCGTGATACGTTCACGCGACGACGAAGATACCGCGCTCAATTCTATAACGCAACGACCAGATCCAGTCAAGACTGTATTCTTTCGCGATAGATGAGAGAATTCCAGAGAGAAGATGAACTCTAATTCTTTATCCGGCAAACTCAAACGCGTCACCGGGCCGAGCATGATAGGTCACGGTGATCGATGACCACCTCATTTTGGCGGACTTCCGAAAATAACGAAAACTGTGGTAGCGCGCTGAAAGAGTTTGAGGACTCGATATCCATTCGGACATTGATCTATGAACATTCGCATGTGATGGGAGGTTCCTCTATGAGCGATTTTGTGATTACTTATCCGCGCGCTTTCGGACAAATGGTGTCGTGCACACGCCAGAGAGTTTTGTCTCTCTTTCTATCTCCTGATAAGAGATGTAACAATTATCGTATACATGCAGGTAGGCAAGATGTATTCGTTAGGTCTGATGTTCCTACGATTACTATTAACGTTCCATTAGCGCGAATGAACAAACGACTGACAATTAATAGACTGTCTTAATGGCGCACCGTGTCAAAAGAAGCGTCGCTTCATTACGCGTAAAGGGACGCATAAAGGGTCTTCGAGGACTGACAAGCAGCAACTCGCTCGATTCGGTGCTGCGAGACCTAAACAATAATCTTGAAATCGCGGGAAAGATACGACATGGCGCCCTCGCTCTCTTTTCCTCTCGGGGCCCGCGTCTCCCTTTTCTATCTTCTCTTGATGCTTCCTTCGTTTGTTATGTCTTTCTCTGCCCTGACAGGAAGATGTACAAAGCGGTGAGGCACCGTTTTAACAATATATAACGGCTGTAATTGCGAGTGATATATGTCGCGTGCGCATTTCTTTAATCATTCCCGCTGGTACATCTTACGCTTGCGAAATGGAGTCGCGGGGCGCCGAGATGAAATTCTTGATAGGAGGAAGCTCACGATGGAGGACCGCAACGTGATGCGTTTTGTCGTGTTATAAAATGTAACACCCGCCACGGTTTATGTCGAGTACGTGCGCGACCTCGTCGAATGCTCGAATGACGGGTGGAATTTGCCGAAAGTATTTCAAGCGTGCCGTAGGGTATCAGGTAAATTTGCAGACATCGCTGAATTATCGAATTTGAACTTTCGAAAGGCTTAACATTTCGCGTCGTTTCTTAATCGATCGAACGGAATGCACGTCAATTTCCTGCGAATCCACTATTCCCTGTCGAAACATATCTTTAGCATATCTTTTTTTTTATCGAATCGCACAAAACGATGCAAGTCGAACTGCCTTTATCACTGGTATTACATTTTTATCGTCGTTTCTACCGCGCTTTTAACTTTTTTACAGAAGCTCGTTTCTGTTACTCCCTCCTTTTATACGTTGAAATTTATCGATCGTAGGGACTGATTTTTCGACGAGATCAAATGACCAATTAAGGATAACGACGTGTCTGTCGTCTGTCAATTCTCGACTCAAATATCCATATACACTGTTAAATCCGTAGTGTCAAATTATACTCAATTTGAGTTATTTTTAACCATTCCTATAAGTCGCCACTGCTCCTACTAAATATGTCGTTAATTTAACTAATGTAATGGAGTTAAATAATTTAAGTAAAGAAATGTATTAAATTTGACTAAAATTTAGTTTATTTTTTATTGTGCATACGTTAATGTAACCTTTGTTTTAGTAAAAAATGACTTAATATTGTTTTTAAATGGGTTGATTAGATGTGGTTGTTTTTTTAAACACATGTTTTGTGTTAAAATAGTAAATTTTGACACACACGGTAGTTAAAAATAACTAAATATTATTTAACTCAAGAAATTGGTTTAAATTTGACCCTCCAATATTTAACAGTGTATACGCTATCTGACGCGTGTGTATCGATTTTTGACAATGAAAACTTCCCTTTGAAACAAGAAATACAGCACGAAGACATTTACGTAATATAAAATACAGAGAAAATTTCGTTCATATGTTTCTCTCGTGAAAAATAACATAAGACGAAACGCATGAGACTAGTGACATGAAAATTGCCTCTACGATAAGTTATTACTATGCACCATGTATATCTCTCATTATAGACTACAGAATCCGTAAACTAAAAGAAAAATATACGCTGATTACCGTATGCTCCAGCGTTCGTTCTCTTCAATCGTCATATCCTTTGATCAGACTCTCTCTCTCTCCCTCTCTCTCTCTCCCTCTCTCTCTCTCTCTCTCTCTCTCTCTCTCTCTCTCTCTCTCTCTCTCTCTCTCTCTCTCTCTCTCTCTCTCTCTCTCTCTCTCTCTCTCTCTCTCTCTCTCTCTCTCTCTCTCTCTCTCTCTCTCTCTCTCTCTCTCTCTCCCTCTCTCTCTCTCTCTCTCTCTCTCTCTCTCTCGCGTTTCGTTTCTCTGTATAAGAAGGCTTTATTCTGCGTGCTGCGTGGATGCAAACAGAATTCTTACTGGAATCATTCGATTTCATTACGCGAAGAAAATTGCACTTTATTTTATTTCAATCTCAGTATGATAACTTAATCGCGTAGCGGAAGTTTTTAATGCAATAATGGGTAAAAATAGTAAAATACGAGAGATAGAAAAGTACATTTTCCATTGCTTATGTTTCTTTTTTACTCGCAGAAATGGTATTTTTTTCGTAACATACATATGCACGTACACGCAGAACAAGTTTGAATATCAATTATAACTTTGTAACGTAATATAAAACGAAAGGTTTACAAAATAAAACAAGGCAGAATTTTTTCATCTGCAACTTACCAATCAACGTGACAGTGATAAGTAAAATTGTTCTCTCACTGTTGGGAAAATAACTAAAGATAACTGAGAAAATTATTTATGTTATCGAATCACTCCATCCATTTTGGAGATTCACGTTAACAGTCTCTATTTTTTCGCTATCTTACATCTTTGCTAATGTTATACTGCTACTTTCATATCGTAAAAAAATATCTACTCGCTGTTTGTACATGCACACGCGTCCGTTCCGCGATACAGATTTTAATACACTTTTATCTCAAGATCATTCGATACTTTGAAAGGAGAAACAAGGCTAATGTTATTCTGTAACTTGAATATTAAAGAATGGAAATATCGAGTATCATGATATTTCTTTCTCTTCCTGTTTTTATGCCATGGACTGACCTGATTATACTTTTTATCAAGATACTGCATTATAACAAATATCTCATTGCGAGAGAGTCACGCAGAAAACTTTCGGGGACTACTTTGCACTTTTAAGTCATACAGTGCTTTGAGCAAAAAAAAAAGACGAGTCTCTTTTCGCCAAAAAAGTTTTTATCGTGTAATTTTGCACGAGACGTCATCGAGCAGATAGTCGAGATTTAGCTAGATTTAGCTGTCTAATAAAAAATCGCAAGCCGCTGACCTACTTAACTGTTTCGCGAAATACTCATTCTTCATCCGGAAAGTAAATATACACGACGCGCGATTCTTCACGGTTACGTGCATTGTGAAGACGCGCGGTAGATTCGAAATTTCTTAATCTGGTTATTGGAAGAACACAACACGTGTACCCCTCCCCGTGTTACCTGTTCGCCTCACTTTCACGCCGTGTTATACGCGTTAAAAGGCTTCGCGTCGGGTGATTAAATCTACACGAGACCGAGTGCAGGACGGAAATTAGGCCACGGGCGTCAACCTTCGTCACGATCTTGTCGCACCTGGATTTCCGCGAAGTTCATAATCCGACGTTTTGGCCGACATGTTCGCCGGCGAGATCCCTCTCTCGTTCCTTCTCTCTCGCTCTCTGTCCCTCGCAAGAGTGAAACGTTACCTTAACTTTCTTAAACTTATCCAGCAGCGGGGTCATAAAGCCCGCCTGGCCCGAAGGGATTCCCCCTTACTTTACTTAACAACGCAACGAAATGCGTCTTCACGCCAAAGTCAGGGTGCAAAAGTGGCGAAAGGCAAAGCGCAGAAAAGAACACGGAAAAGCAGGGAGAGAGAGAGAAAGGGGAGTGTGCAGCTAAAGGGCTTCACACGGTGAAAGTTTATTACGTCCTAGAAAACAATTTCCCCTAAGAGCAATGATAAAGATTAATGAGCGTTATAAAGCCGGGGTGCAATATATACGACGGCGGGGTAATACGTATGGTGGATGTGGTTTGGATCCATCGTCGACCTGGCAGTTTGACAAATTGACTAATTTCGTATACAATATATACGCGATTGCAGGCGCGCGATGCAGACGATGGTCGACGGATTGGACGTGTAGACGACGATTTTTGCACGTCCGCACGTCTCCCTTTTCATCACGTTCTCTACTCACTCGTATTTCTTAACGAACGCCTCTTTCGTGTTTTCTTGTTATTTTTCTTCCTCCTCGCTAGTCTTTTTTTTCTTTTAAAGACGCTGTAACGCAAAATTAGAACGCCTTCTGCTTGTGCGTCATAATGCTCGTAACGCGAGCTCTTAAATAGCAGACACGGTCTTTTCCCGGAAGCCAGATTCTTGTAGAAATAACCGCACATAAATAGTCGACTCGTGCTATAAATGCGTGTTAAATTAAACAATCTGTGTTTCGATATTTTGTCACTCTCTTAAATGCATATATATATGAGTGTTTCTCGATATTTCGCGCGAGATCGTTTAATTAAAATATATTTCGTAAATGTAATGTATACAATCGATGTGAAAAATTGCGCCTGTTGTTTTCCAATTGTTTTTAAAATCGCTTTACGCTAATTTTCGAACAGTGATTGATACGATGTTCGTTTTCATTCGAAATATCTCGTCATTTTAGACAAGGCGAAAATTGACGGTAAATTGCCAGAAAAATAGAACTTGTCACTGCAATTTCGCCGTGACGAAAGTTTATATCCTGCATACTCCACTGTAAAATTTAGTTCTGATACTGTTGCGCGTCACGATTTGATTATTTTCACGATCGCGAATGATTAAACGTGCCGCTCGTAAAATCGGGACGTAATGTCCTTTGAACAACTTCGAACGACACTTTAATCTCTTTTAATGCGACGTCGGATGTTGCCAGATTCGCGAATTACCAGAAGCGACTAGTGCGAGAAATATAAATTTCGTCGCCGCGCGTCACCTATAATTTTCACGGGAAGTATTGGCGATATATGGCGGAAGTAGCTTCCGAACGTAGCCAAGACCGAGGAATAGATAATAATTGACTAACATCTCCGTGCTCGCGGTGCTATAATGAAGGTGCTATAATGAAAGCGATGCACATCGTAGCGATGGAAATCGAATTCACCACGGCAAATTTATCGCGGTCCTTCGGCGCGGAGGAAGTAGTTTAAAAAGAAAAGACGAAATTAGGAATAAAAATAGCAATAGGAATAAATGTGTGACCTTATACGTTCTGCGCGTGCAATTGAATAGTCATCGCGAGGTCACGCTTCAACAAATTCACATGTACGTCCGTCGCGCGACGGTTGCCTCGAAATTTTGCAATCTAAATCAGCTGTCCCCTCCCCGTCGAATCCGTTTCTGTGTTTTCCCGTAGCGTTTCCCCCTCGCCGTTCCCGGAGATTTCTCGTTAAGATTCGCGGAATATCAGAGCTTATCGAACGTCGTCGGAAACGCGTGTCTCGTGATAATAATCGCGGGGACAACAATGAACTCGCTAGGTCGTCCTTTATATTCACTCCCTATGGCTTTTCTTGTCAGCGTAGGACGAAGCTCCTTTCATTACGTGTAATCGAGTCGAAAAATGATCTTGAGAATAGCGTGTTGTGTCGCGTCGAGGCAGAAGAAAAATAGAGCGTTACACGCGCGTGCAGCTTTAAATATCAATTAACGCGGGAAAATTTCTTGATCCGCGAAATCACGCCGCGCGTGGTTGCTGGGTTAAGGGGGAGGGGGTGTTTCAATGGCCGCGCGCAGGTCGGTTACAACGTTGTCCTTTTAAGGACAACGCGAGGAGCGTGCATATCGTGCGAGATATCGATCGACGTTGGTCGCGTACGCCTTCAACGGCAGGCGCCATGCAGGACTCATAAATTGATATCCACTCTACAGCTGCAAGCTAGATCATGTATATCATACGCGCGTTCGCTCCCTGAAAGTGATGACGGGTCAAGGGTCTCATTTTACGATGGCCACACTCTACGTCAGGCTTGTAAAGAAGAAAAAAGTAGGGTTGAGCGCGCGGAATATTAAGAGCCGAGTGAGTTTATCGCGGTTCGAGCATTTCTCTGGCCAGAACGCTACTGTCGTTGTTCACGTCTAGTTCGCGTACGTAGAGGAGATGACTTTTTCTCTTCTTCTTTTTTCGCACGACGCGTTTCGCGAATGTCTGAGCCGGCCTGTCCAAGCGGGATGGACACCTGTCTGCTAAATTTCTCGGACAACTGTGTGATTCGAAAATAGAAAATGATTAATCAACGACGCAGCGAACAAGTTCGCGCGTCCAGGCGTCCTTGCTCGTTACGAATGCAATTAATAATTGCCGTCACGTACCACACCGGTTGCAGTTATTCAGCGCGGCACTCGAGCATCAGACCGATTATTAAATACGCGAATACCACATAATACGTACGCTGATTGCCGCCCAACGTCGTTTGTCCACTCACCACCACCGACGCGCCGGCTTAAGGCTTCATTTACGAGTGACGACAGC